TATCTTTTTCCATCTCTTCACTTTCAGTCTGTATATGTCCCTAGGTCTGAAGTGGGTCTCTTGTAGACAGCATATATATAGGTCATGTTTTTGTATCCTTTCAGCCAGTCCGTGTCTTTTGGTTGGGTCATTTAATCCATTTACATTCAAGGTTATTATCGATACATATGTTCCTATGACCATTTTCTTAATTGTTTGGGGTTTGTTTTTGTGGGTCTTTTTCTTCTCTTGTGTTTCCTGCTTAGAGAAGTTCCTTTATCATTTGTTGCAAAGCTGGTTTGGTGGTGCTGAATTCTCTTAGCTTTTGCTTTTCTGAAAAGCTTTTCACTTCTCCATCGAATCTGAAGGAGATCCTTGCTGGGTAGAGTAATCTTGATTGTAGGTTTTTCTCTTTCATCACTTTAAGTACATCCTGCCACTCCCTTCTGTCCTGCAGAGTTTCTGCTGAAAAATGAGCTGATAACCTTATGGGGATTCCTTTGTATGTTATTTTTTGTTTTTTCCTTGCTGCTTTTAATATTTTTTCTTTGAATTTAATTTTTGTTAGTTGATTAATATATGTCTTGGTGTGTTTCTCCTAGGGTTTATCCTGTACGGGACTCTCTGTGCTTCCTGGACTTGGGTGCCTATTTCCTTTCCCATGTTAGGGAAGTTTCCACTATAATCTCTTCAAATATTTTCTCAGACCCTTTCTTTTTCTCTTCTTCTTCTGGAACCCCTATAATTCAAATGTTGGTGCATTTAGTGTTGTCCCAGAAGTCTCTGAGATTGGCTTCAATTCTTTTCATTCTTTTTTCTTTATTCTGCTCCTTGGTGGTTTTTTCCACCATTCTGTCTTCCAGCTCACTTATTCAGTCTTCTGCCTCAAGTATTCTGTTATTGATTTCTTCTATTGTATTTTTTGTATCAGTTATTGTGTTTTTCATCTCTGTTTGTTTATTCTTTAGGTCTTCTAGATCTTTGTTAAACATTTCTTCTGTTTTCTCAATCCGTGCCTCCTTTTTTTTTTTTTTTTTTTAATGAGTGGGATTGTGTTCCTGTCTTACTGGTTGTTTGGCCTGAGGCTTCCAACACTGGAGTTTGTAGGCTATTGGGTAGAGCTGGGTCTTGGCGCTGAGACAAGGAATTCTGCAAGACCTCACTCTGATGAATATTCCCTAGGGTCTGAGGTTCTCTGTTAGTCCAGTTGTTCGGACTCAGAGCTCCCACTGCAGGAACTTTGGCCCAACCCTGGGTTTGTGAACCAAGATCCCGCAAACCACCTGGGGTGGCAAAAAATAAAAATAAAAATAAAATAATAATAATAATAGCAAAGTAAAAAGTAAAATTAGACTAGGAAACTAACAGATATGTTAGGAAGAATATAAAAGTAAAAATATAGATGAATCAACAACTGGAAGGTACATTAGTACAACAATAGTAAAAAGAAGGAGGAGGGAAAAGAAAAAAAAGGCAGCGGGGGGAAGGCCTTGGCTGTGGAAGGCAGGGCCTAAGCAAGGGTGAGGTTTGAGCAGTGGGTGGGGCCAAACCTTGCCCTTGCTTAGGCCCTGCCTTCCACAGCCAAGGTTGGAAAAGGCCCTGGGGGCTGTGGGGGTGTGGGGCTTAGGCTCAATGGAACAGAAGGGGCCCAGGTGTGCCCCCCACCCCTATTATCAGAGGGCAGGGGACCTCACCTGGGATCCCAGCAGGCTTCTTGGGCATGAGTGGGCAGGGAAACGCCATCCTCTTGTCTCCTGCTCCTCTGGTCTGGGAGGGCCACTCCTGCCTGCCTCTCCTGATCTCCCTGGCCTCAGGGGCGCAGATCCTATCTGGCTTCCACTTCTCCTATCCCCTCAGTCTCCCTACATCCTGCTGGTTCACTTTGGGGTTCCTCCCATCTCCTTCAGCATCAGAGTTCCCCACCAGTGGCCAACAGGTGCCCTAGTTGTGGGGAGACACTAACTCTGCATCTTCCCACATGGCCATCTTGACTCCGCCTCCTCTTTATACATTTTGGATAATAACCCCTTATAGGATATATGTTTTGCAAATATTTTCTCTCATTCAGAAGGTTGCCTTTTCATTTTGTTGATGGATTTCTTTGCTGTGCAGAAGCATTTTAGTTTGATATAGTCCCACTTGTTTATTCTTGCTTTTGTTACTTTTGCTTTTGGAGTCAGATCCAAGAATAATCACCAAGACATATCAAGGAGCTTACTACCTACATTTTCTTTCAGGAGTTTTGTGGTTTCACGTCTTATGTTCAAGTCTTCAGTTCATTTTGAGTAAATATTTGGGTGTGGTGTACGAGAGTAGTCTAGTTTCATTTTTTTGCATGTGGCTGTCCAGTTTTCTCAATACTATTTATTGAAGAGCCTGTCCATTCCACATTGTATATTTTTGGCTCCTTGGTTGCAAATTAATTGAGCATATATGCCTGGGTTTGTTTCTGGGCTCTCTTGTCTCTTCCCTGTTTTTATGCCAATGCCATACTGTTCTGATTACTCTAGCTTTGTAGTATAGTCTGAAGTCAGGGAGCATGATTCAACCAACTTTTACTTCTTTCTCAAGATTCCTGTGGATATTCAGGGTCTTTTGTGGTTCCATACAAACTTTAGGATTGCGTGTTCTATTTCTGTGAAAAATGTCATTGGAATTTTGATAGGGGTTATCTTTAATCTGTAGACTTTGAAATTATCCAGGCCACTTTTCCGTACTCCAGATTCATATTTCTAATTGCCTACACAGCATCTCCACTTGAATATCTCATAGGCAGCATTAACTTAACATTATCTTTCTCCCCACAAACCTGCTCCTTCCACAGTCTTCTCTTTCTCAGGAAATGACATGTACATACTTCCGATGCTCAGTTCTGAAAACTTGCTCATTTTTGAGTCCTCTGTTTCTCTAACATCCCTACATGTAATATGTCAGCAGATTCTGTGAACCCTTGAACCCTATCCATAATCAGACCACTTTTGGCTACCTCCACTTCTATCATCCCTTTGCAAGCCAACATTGTATCCCACTTGGATCATTAGTTAGTAGCCTAACTGTCTTGCAGCTTCTATTTCTTCTTTCCCACATCTTCTTCCCATCCCAAGACCTCAATCACAGCCAAACCCAATCAGACGATCTTTTTAAACCAAAAGTCAAATAATACCACTCCTGAGCTCAAAAACTCTCAGCAGTTTCCCATTTAACTCTAAATAAAGGATCTTCAGTGATTTACTAAGTCCTACATCATCTGGCATTCTGATCCCTTTTCTTCCTACCCTTTTTTTTTCTCATTCCAATATTGCCCCATTAGTCTTGGTGTTGTTTTTTGGAAAATCCTGGCACACTTAAGCTTTAAGGATTTCTGGCCCCTCTCTCCAAAATGCTGTTCTCCCGAATAATGGTGGTATCACCTCATGGTATCATTCCTCATCACATTCAAGCCTTTGTTCAAATATACCTTCAGTAAGGCCTCCCCTGCCCACCCATTTAACAATGTAATCCCCTGCTTCCACATGACCTATCTCCTTTCCCTGCTCTTTTAAAAGTCATAGGCCTTATCATTATTTGATATACTGGAGGGTTTCTTTATTTGTTAGTTGTCTGTGTTCCCCCTCTAGAACTTATTATCCCTCAAGGTAGAGATTTTTGTCCTTTTGTTGTTATTTTTTTTCATGTTATGTGCCTAGCTCTAGAATACTGCCTGGCAAATAATTGTCTCATGATACAAATTTATTGAAGTAATAGATAAAAAGATCAGAATAATCTTGATATGCAGAAGTGCTAGGGTTGTTTTAATCTGTCAAGTCCTTAAAGGTCTATATCTTTTTTGTTGTTGTTTTTTGTTTGCTTGCTTGTTTTGTGGTATGCGGGCCTCTCACTGTTGTGGCCTCTCCCATTGAGGAGCACAGGCTCCGGATGTGCAGGCTCAGCAGCCGTGGCTCACGGGCCCAGCTGCTCCGCGGTATGTGGGATCTTCCCGGACTGGGGCACGAACCTGTGTCCTCCCTGCATCAGCAGGCAGACTCTCAACCACTGCGCCACCAGGGAACCCCAGGCCCATATCTTTAACAGAGAATAAATGAGCTATAAAACACCATTACCCCAGTGATTTTACTTGAAATATCACTGGTGCTCAAGGCTGGTCCTATTTGCTCTCTCCTGATGACCTGTGTTTTATAGGTTTTCTTCCTATCACCCATCATGACCCATATCAAATTTTGACTGAAAGTAGCTGTGACCTTGGTTAAACCTAAATTCTGCTTATTCTTTGTTTTATAATTTCACTACTGGTGTTTCCTTCCAACTTGGTGCAAGCTGGTTCAGAGTTTCCTGCCTAAGTCTTCTCTTGGATAAAAGGCACTATGCCTCAGACTGCCTTAACCTCTTAATCTAACCAGCAGTCATGCACTCACCATTCTAAGGGGTAAAGCATGGTCATCAAGGTTTTGAAAGTGTTCATGGTACCCATTCTGGAGCAATGCTCCTGTTGCCTGAAGTAGGACAAGCATTTGATTACAGGGGAATTAAGCAGCCAGGGAAATCCTAGGAAAGTTAGATTTAAGGATATCTGAAGCATATAAAACAAAAAAGATAAAAATTAGGTAATGTGAGAGTTAAATGCTGCTTGAAATATTTGAGGTGGGGACTGTGTTGCAGAGGAACGTTAAAAGGAGAAAGGAATTTTTCCAAAGTACTGCATTCTAATATGTCTGTGAGAATCTCAAGTTATAAAGCAGGGCCATTTTCTGTTTTGCTGTTGCTGTTTTTTTTAATATGTTAATCCCAAACTGCTAATTTATCTCCTCCCAACCCCCACCCCGCTGTCTCCCTTGGTAACCATAAGTTTGTTTTCTATGAATGGCCATTTTCTTTATTCAAAGACTACATATGGTGCTAAACTTAGCCACTACTTTTAGTATCATTTTACAGAGTACTGCAATAGAACTGATTTTAATAATGTGGAGCATTGCTTATTGTCTGATGATGTCAATTTGGATCTTCAGCTGAATATTAATACTCACCGTTTCCCAGTTGGATAGAACCTAGAGCAAGCATGGCCATCCCAAGCGCAGTAAGGGTCTCTTGCCAGGCAGCAGTCAGCACAGGCTGTACCGTAGATGTGGCAGCGATGCAGAGACACTTGGGAAAGTCCTTCATTGGAGCTCACATACAACTGTTGCTATTAGAAGAATGATGGTGATTTATTTCAGATGTGGAAGTTAAAAGTGGACTTCCAGCAGGAACACAATATAATATACGCCCACAAACCCTTGGATTCATTTTGAAATAGACTAAAAACAAGAAGCAAAGTACAGAAGGGTATAAAGCCAAAATAAATAGAATTTTCCTACGTTAATATGCCTATAACATTACCACTTTCCTGTTTAAAAAAAAAGTTCAGAGCACCATGTAGAATGATAATGTATTTTAGACATTGGGATTCATTGTTCTCTCAGATTTGAGCTAATGTATTACAGATTTAAATTATGATGTTTGCCTTTTTTCTTTGAATGCTGTCTCTTGGCAAAGCACAAGGCACCTTTCTTATTCTTCAAGTCTGGCAAACCATCACCTTGTAAATTTGAAAAAGTAGAGTCTAAAATAAAGGGCACTTTTATGTTTAGAAAAAATAGATGGTAAGTATTAGATAAAATTTTTAAAAAAATTTCACATGCCTTTGAAAGTGACTTACTACTGAGAGCAATTTTAAAATTATTTAGAAGACTGTAAGTATTTATATTTAGACATGTTTTAAACTTTCTGTATGATCCCAAGATCTTCAGCAGCCTAAGTCATAAATAAAGATTTCATCCTCCTTCATTTGTACAGTGTCAAGGGCTTATTATGATATTTCTCCAACTCTTTTAGCTGTGCATAAAGCAGTTCTCAGGAGTTGAAGGGATGTTTCTAATTCACAGTCCTTATTTTACAAAGGACTGATAATATGTAATTCAAGTTAACATAGAATTTCTAAGCTGGAACTTGAATACATGCACATGTGCACACATATGTGTGTGTATGTGAGTGTGTCCGTATGTATATAAATTTAGAAATTATATATAAATTTAAAAATTATATGTAGATTTAAAATTAAATCAGTGAGGGCACCATTGGTCTATCAGGTTCTGGAGGCACATCTCTGAGATTCAGATCCCAGCTACCACAAATTTGCTGGTTAACCTTTCTGAATCTCAGCTCCCTCTTTGGTAAGACTGAGACAACATAGCACTTACTCCATAGATTTTATGTAAGAACTAAATATAAGGGCTAACTCCACATAAAATGCTTAGAATAGTTTCTGGCACCTAAGCACTTAATGAATATTAAGCAATAGTATTAGTAAACTACCAATGAACAAGCTAGCAATTTATACATTTTCAATTCTAATTAATCATTTGAATCACATCTCAGCCTAGCACGTGTAATATAAAATAATTATTTTATTCAGATCAATGAATTTTTCAGAAAATAGGCTGAAAATTACTGATCCCCATTTGAGACGTTCAAGCTATAAGAAAACAACTGCATGTTTTGACGATAATCATTTCTCTAGAAATATTTGAAATAAATGCTCATTGAGTACATTAATAAATAATACAGTGAATGCATCAACTTCATTAAAATATTTCAAGGAAACTTGTTTATTTGAGGAAAAGATACAGGTAATTCCATTCTAGAAATTATCTTTTTTATTAATCTATTTTCTGCTATATGGAATGCAAGGATAAATTAGAGAATAAAGGAGCATAAAATGAAAAGTAAAATTTTTACTTTGAGCATTAGAGAAGGTACTAAATTCGTGGAATTTAAATATATATAAAATACCATTGGCAATCTGTAGTTCTTTCACACTGAAAAAATAATGCAATACGTAGTTGTGTAAATGAATTCTCCCCCAAATCAAACAATTACCTTGCCCTGAATCTAATTGCTTTAATTAAACATTTTAAATTACCTACAATATAAGATGTTGAAACAAATTTAATACTCAGTCTTTCCAGTGTATGTTTGTGCTGTACACTGCAATTTAATGGAATGGATTGTGTATTACAAGTTCACCAGTTGAATTATGAGCTGAAACCTATAATTGTATACTGTACTACTATGTCACACAAATGGTTTTGTGTCCATTTTGAATCTTGCTCTGATACTTTCTCCTTCCATTAAACTACTGTAAACAAAGGGATTCCATGCTGACTTCAAAGACAATTCTGACTTAGGATCAGCTCCCTAGGACACTGGGGAAAATGACAAATGGCTTCTTGTTACTTGGGAAAATGTTTGTTATGCACCATACAAACATTTTTACAGATGAGATCTTTAGCTCCCTTGTACCCTATTTATTTTTCTTCATAAAATTTAGTCAAGTGAAAAGAGTACGAGACTAACTGTGGAATACTTCTTTATCTGTAATAGACCAAATATCGTGAAGAACACTAAAGTTATATCATCAGTTATGCCAACACATAAAACCTTTATTCCATATTCCAAGAAAAATAAGTCTTAGGCTCTTACAAACAGCAGTTACCGAAGACCCACTTTATTTTAGGTCATTTATGTAAGTTAACTCATTTGTGAGAAAGCATTACTTTGCAGAGGCAGAAACTTAGGTCAGTGAAGTAAAATAATTTGTTTATAATTTAAGGTCACGTTGGGGTTCAAATGCATGTCAGTCCCATTCTGAAGGCTACCCCATTTTTGACTATACTGCTCTGCCCCTTAGAACTTTTGTTTTAGAGATAGCAACTTTGGGGTCTGGAGAGGTGCATGTTTTGCACATGTAGAGATTGGAATTGGGCTTTTCCTCTCCATGATCATTGTGTATTTGCGTGTGAAGGCACAAATTAGAAGATCAAACACTTCTGATAATCATAGTAAAACATTTATTCCCCAGATCCTGAACCCTGATATGGCTTAGATTTGACACATTCAGATTTTTTAAATGACATGTAAACCCTATAAAATAGCACTTCTTTAGAAATAAGCATAAAAGAAGGCACTGCATATTTCAAACATGTGACAGCAACAGGAACTCAAAAGAGGATTGATTACTCATTCCAAGTCCCTGAGAAGGTTCGTGATGCTACAGTAGCCCAAACATTATGCTAAATTCTTCCTTCAGAAAGATTATTTTTATTTTGGTTGGCTTCATACACTGTAATATTTGAGAATAGAGGATATACAAATGTTGGAATATCTTGCTGCATATATATATATACATATATAAATATATATATATTCTACTCTGATGAGCTTCTGTACAAAACTAAGCCTATTTTGTCTTCCACTAAAGCTAAATTCCATATCAAAATTAAGTGTGTGGTATACTATGAACAGTATTCATTATTTTGCTAATAGTAAAATTAAATTTTCAGAAATTATAAAATACATTCTTCCACAATAGTAAAATTTTTATATACAAAGAAAATAAAAATGGGGTTGTTTTTACCTTTTTGGATGAAATTTTCATTGTTGTTATAGGAGCATGATTCTAAAAAAATTAGAAAAACATTGTTAGTTGCTCAAATAATCCTTAAAACAGATTTTACATTCAAAAACTTTTCTCGTTTCTGTTAAAATTCAAGAAATCATCATTTCTCTCTATATGCACATGTAGTTTCAAAGTTTAGCAGTAATTGTCTATAAAGTACTTTTCCTCTGTTTGGAATGAGGACAGATTTGTTACACAAATATATGCCTAAACTAAAGAAAGTGGCAATTATAACACATCTATCAATATAGTCATTAGAAAAAAATGAAATTTTGAGAAATTTCAGAGAATTGAAAAAACTGTATCTTGGAATATTGAACACAGCGCATAACTCAGGATTGGATCTGGGTACTTGGGGTGGGGGGCTGTGGAATGGTACCCCTCCTCAACACAGCACTTTGCATAAGATACTATTGTTCACCTGCCAAATGTTGCTATGCCAAGAAGTATTTGCCTGAGCCATACTTATTCTCTTTGTTGAATACAAAGAAATATTGTTAGGTAAGGTCCTCTTTTGATAAATGTGAATTAGTGAAAGAACCTAAGAGTTACCTGAAATAGTCATCCTTTCTGAAAGTTCCTCTATTCTTAACTTTACTTCTTAAACATTATTAGTTCCTTTTAAAGATTAAAAATTAGACTCGTGATAACCTGATAAAGATGTGTGAAGTTTTATTTGAATAAGTCAAGTAGCAACACACTCTCAAAGTCAACTGTGCCCATAATTATTTCACTTTCTGGAGTTGTTTGTTCCTACAAACATTTTAAAGAGAAAATGGTGATATCTTTAAATACTCAGTTGCAACAGATCATGACATTCAGTCAGAAATATACACACATACAAAACAAGTTTTGCAATTTATATCCACCTAGGCAACTACTAACAGTTGTACCTCCAATTCAAATTAAGTTTAGGGAAGTTGGACATATTTTCAGAAAATATTCTGAACAGAGGATTAAACAATATATTATGGTTCTGCGCTCTTTAAAAACAAAGTGCCTGGTTTTTACATTGAGTTTCCTGCAGTATATCAGTGTAACACTTGGGTAAGGAATTTATTTCAGTTTAAATGCATTATTTCCTCAAGTGCCCATCACAGTATATCATACACACCCAATTATTTTCACCTCACCTCAGAAAATGTGACACAAACACCATGCTGAAGACAGTAACTGTATTTGGTAACTGTTTCTCTCAATTTAGCCATATCAATCACTGGCACACGCATCCAGAAGGAAGCTCAAACTTCTTTAGTCTCTCTTGGGTTGATGTCCCCCAACATGCATTTTGACTGACTCCATTTTTCCACTGAGAGTTTATTCTTTATGATATAACACCAGCATAACTCATAAGTAGTTAGCACATGATCAGAATAACTCACATTTCTAAGACCTTTCTATAGAACGTATGTAAAACTCACTTAATTAATGTTTCCTTATTATCAAACTCACTTAATTAATGTTTGTGTCAAACTCAATTAATGTTTCCTTATTATCAAAAAAATATATTTCAGAATTAAAAATGGAGTGCTGCAATATGGCCTTTTTGCTATTTTCAAGAAAACTACTGAATAAGGTACTTTATATTCTTTTGGCCATCCAAGTTGTCCCTATTGAATTGAATGAGAAGAAATATATTATATATATATTACATGTAAAATGCAGTTTTGGTTAATCCAATGAAACAATCAATTTCTTTACAAAGCAAGGCATAGAAAAGGCACTTAAATGCACATAGTTAATATTTTATGAGCATAATTTTAATGCACTAACCACAAGGAACCTTATGCCAAAGTTAGTCTAGCATTAAAAATTGTAACCTTAATAACATATTGGGAAATTGCCAGAATTCCTCAGTTTCTGTATTTGATTTGATTTTTAAAATAGTTCTTCATATTTAAAATGTATTAGTAAAATCTAATATCATTGTATCTTGATCACCTATGTGCTTATAAATCCAATATTTTTAGTGACTGGGGGAATATATATTAAGTTAATACATTCTAAGTCCACTTAACAAAGCAATGCAACTTACTGGACTAGCAATAGTCTGCTCCCAGGGGCTTTGAAGTGCTATTTTTGCTCCAGTATAGGCTGACTCTGGTCTTTTGGTGTCCGTGGCCATTGTTTCTTAACTGGTTTAGTTGGAAATAGAAGTTTGCTGTAGGATTGATTCCATACCAAAGTTTCTTTGAAATCCTCTGGCTGTGCTTTACCCATCTTTCCAAATCAGGTAAGAGGGACCACTTAAACTGCAATGACCTATACTTTAAGGAGAGAAGGGTTTGCAGGACATAATGTACCAGCTCTCCAGGCTCACAGACACATAAAGAATTGGCACTCTGCCCTCAGTAGGTTACATCTTACAGGACTGAATTTTCCTCCATGTGCCTGTTTTTTGTTGTGTTTTCTTTTTCTTTTTTCTTTTGATCCCAAATTCAAGGACAAAGAGAGTAATACAATGCAATCTCAATTTCAGACAGAACATGAAGTTTTAAGAGACAACATTTGTTTTATTTAACTAGAGTGACATTTGAGTTGAAAGCAATAAAATAAGAGAAAACAGAGCAGTTTTTCTTGAAGTTCCTGGCTAAAAAAATATGAGAAAGTTTATCTAACAATCAATAATGTGGAAGAATTTGGGTCTTGGTGGCTTGTGAAGCAAATGATAAAAGCCCTTTCATGGCAAATCTTCTAGACCTTGACCACAAGAACTCATTTTTTAAAAATAATGATGACCAAAATTCTTCAAGTTGTGATGATAGCTAAAAAAACTAATTCTTTTATGCTAAGATAACTTAAAATGTAAAAAATTACTTCAGAAGAATATTTGTTATTTCTCATTTTATCTGGTGTTTCCTACCCTCAAAAATTTATAACATTCATTTATTTGATCTTTTATCAATTTTTTTTTCCCTCCCCAAGTTGTTGTAAGATTAAAGAGTTGCATTTATCATGCATGTGCTGGGGCTAATAGAATAGATGTTCAAACCTTAAAGACTTCCAACTCCTCCAGAATGAGCTCACTGCTGGCAGAGCTATTAGAAGGAAGAACAACAACCTTCTGCACAGTACCTCGATCTAAATCAGAGAAAGAAACAATGAGATGTAGGAAACAAAGATATTTAGACATAAGACTACTACTGGCTTAGAATTTAGAATATTGTTTATGTAATTACTTAGTCATCAAAAAAGAGATTACATACATTGAGCTATTACCATTTGCAGTATTGATTTCATTATAAATCTCATATGTTTAAATTGAGATTATGTAAAATTCAAAAGGAATTAATAGGAACACCTTATATTTTGCACATATTTGGTATAGTCATAATTATGAGAGAAGAAAGGAATGTCCAAATGTCTTATGAAGTTCAAAGTTCTGTTTCTGAACCAAGTGTGTATTCTTAAAATAGTAATACATAACTTTGTTTGGCCCTTAAGAATATTACTCCTCCTAACCAACACTATAAAGTGACACTCTCATATTTTTGTTAAAATTGACACATAATGATTTGATTATCAGAGAAAAAATTACTATGAATGAGTTTTTATAATAATTTTATTATAAACCATTAGTACTAGAAATTGACATTTGATCTGTAGCGGTGAGAGATTTTAGACATGGTAAAATGTTTCACTCACAATTCAAAATAATTTTCAAAGCAGAAACATAGCTATGGCTTTATCTCAGATGTGGACACCTATTCATAGAATAATTCTATGATTTTCACAATTATCTTTATCAGTTGGGAATGTTTCTTTGGTTATTTTTAAAATATAGGGAAAATTTCAAAATTACATGAGTCGAATAAACTTAAGCAAATAAAAAACCTACTTGTATTTCTCAATTATAGATTGCCAAAAACAGAGACGCCCAAATAAATGTACTATATACAGAAAATGTTACTTATGTTAAGATTTTTTTTTTTTTTTTTTTGGTGGTACGCGGGCCTCTCACTGTTGTGGCCTCTCCCGTTGCGGAGCACAGGCTCCGGACGCGCAGGCTCAGCGGCCATGGCGCACGGGCCCAGCCGCTCCGCGGCATGTGGGATCTTCCCGGACCGGGGCACGAACCAGCGTCCCCTGCATCGGCAGGCGGACTCTCAACCACTGCGCCACCAGGGAAGCTCTATGTTGAGATTTTTAATTAAGATTGTTTCATATGTAACATAAGCATTTTCTAAACATATAATTATGCCACTCTACCAATCACTTAAATTTTAGGTTTAAAAGAAACTAGTTGAAATTTAGCGATGTGGGGTTAAAGCAAATTTGTGAGTGATCTGAGAAAGTAAAAATATATTTCCTCACCAAAATATGTTTCCATTAAAATAATTAGTGAGCTGCTTCATGAATATCAAGTCATCACTGTTAAAGTATGAGCATATAACTGGGAATTTATAATTTGGATAGGCACATTATCATCAACAGATACTAAAACATTTTCTAATTCTGTTGAGAAATGTCACTAAGAAGAGGTAACTTGAACTGAGCTGTACAGGACTTTACAACTAGGAATCATTTAGTGATGAATACCAAAACCACTAATCTCAAATCTCACATCTCAAGCTGGGCGATCACACAGGCAAGCACTACCCTAACATATAAGATCCTATTTATTGTTTATAGTTTCTATTTTATGAAGCTAACTGGAAGATAAAATAATTCTTAATAAAAAATAAACTCTAAAATTTTACCAACTAACAAACTAAAAAATTAAAACCTACTAAATAATAATAAAAATCTTTATACAGAAAAACGACAGAGATTTTGCCAGAACAAGCCTTGAATCTTGTGAGACTGCAAAGTTTAAGTACCTGATCTTTGAAGTTTCAAACTACGCTCTGTAATTTAAAATTCTCGTCTTAAGCCATACTCAAAAATAAACAAAGATCCTAAAGATTGGCAGGCTCTAGGTGTAATTAAGAAACTTGGAAGTTTCTCTGTTTCACCGTTCAGCTTCCTAAGAATTAGCTCTGTACCAATCTGTACTATTTTCTTGGAAGATAATTAATGCAGGTATAAATTGGAAGTGAAAAACATTTGGGGATATGGTACAGAGACACATCACAATTGAAAATGGATAAATGTGATTGGAGGTGTTCCCCATTTTCTATTAACAATTCATCACAAAGAACAGTGTAAACTTCTACAGGAATGGAATATACCAAAAACCCTAAAATTAAAGCCTTGACATTATAACAACTAGGGCAGGATTTGTGTGGTGTTGTGTGTGTGTGTGTGTGTGTGTGTGTGTGTGGTGTGTCTGTGTGAGTGGGTGGGTGAAAGATGAGGGCATAAAACTATCTGTTTTAAGTCATGTTACCATAAAGATCACACTCTTTTTTAAAGTCACAACAGCGTTTTACGGTTCCCTGCTGAAGCTTGCAAGGATCACTGCCATTCTACGTGACAGCAATGACCACTTCTTGAGTAGAGACTGAGCAGAAGCAATGTATAACCATAGCCCCAAATAAAGCTGCATGAGAGGAAATCTTGATTACAGGAGTTCCCAAAGATAAAACTATCAGCTTTGAAAATAATTTTAAGTATTCTCAAATGAGAGAACTGGCTACTTTTTTACCTAACGTTTTAACTAACTATTAGAACATTATTCTACATAAATCATCATTTCATCTGAAAAAGCCCACAACAATCATATTTTATTCATGCCATTTATAAAATATTATACAAAGAGCAGCTATAAAAATGGGCTAATAAAAAGACAATGCAAAACTTGGTTTTGACTCATTTGAAATGAAAGATAGAACACCACCTTTATTTATTGTTTGCCTTCCTATTTTAGTCATTTTTTGTTTTGCTGGTAATGATGAGTAGATTTCCCTTTAAAAAGTAAAAAAAAAAAATTTAAAGGTTAAAAAATATATTTTTCTACCTAGTAAAATGTCAACTTATCTGAAATTCTTACAGAAATGTAAGTAAATTTAAATATTGGTAATGTTTCTACCTCAAAATCAAGTTTAAATAAAATCATAGAAATGCAAGATCCCCACAGTGAAACAAATATTTATTGGATGCCTACTATGTGCCTGGATCTATGATAAAAGTATATCATTTCAAGAACGTAAATATGCATTTTAATTCCTTTACTTTTCCACATTTAGACTTGAATTGGTACTTTATAAGGTAGCATATCTGCAGAGTTCTTCATTACACTGGTTCAATTTTCATCAGTGTGTCACAAATGAACATATTTGTTCTCATACTACATATTAAAGCTTTTTATACATAAATTAGAAGTCTCAAATTTGTGGATTCAATATGAACGGGATAGCTTTAGATCCTTGTGAGATTCAGCACTATTAACAGTTGTTAATTGGATTTTACGAGACCTTGAAGTTTTATAATTTGAGGGGGTCTTCTTTAAGTTAAATAATACATAAACACAAAAACAGAGTTGTTTGGACCTTTCCCAGTTACAAATGAGGAATTCTAAAGTTTCTGGTAAGTCCACCTCTGACAATTAGCCTAGTTTTCTAAAAAAAGAAAGTTTCTATAAAACTGGACAATGATACTTTCTTTAAATTGAAGAATCTCTAATTATCCAATGAAATCTCATCTACAATATCTTATCACTACAATTTTATTATCCAAGATCAGTTTTTCACAAGTTAGCAAAAGGCTGGAAAATTCTTCTTTAGTTGAATGCAAATAGCTCTACCTCCCGGTTTATTTTATTCATTGGCCTTTCTTCTACAGCTGCCAAGAATATACAGTACTCAATCTCTTTTTCACATCTCTCCAAGTGTATCTTTATACCCTCCATACTCTGTTTCTCTGGTCTAAGCATGAGCACTCTGTTCAAGTATATCTTATTCAAATTCAAAATCAGATATTTTTACCTGCCTTTCCCTGAACACCCTGCAGTTTGGGATTATCCTATTTAAAATGCGGTGCTCAGAATTATACATGACTATGCAGTTGTTTTACCACAATGCAGACCTCACTGAAGGGACTATTTATTTATTTATTTTTTGTGGTACGTGGGTCTCTCACTCTTGTGGCCTCTCCCGTTGCAGAGCACAGGCTCTGGACGCGCAGGCTCAGCGGTCATGGCTTACGGGCCCAGCCGCTCCGCGGGATGTGGGATCTTCCCGGACCGGTGCACGAACCTGTGTCCCCTGCAACGGCAGGCGGACTCTCAACCACTGCGCCACCAAGAAAGCCCTGAGGGGTCTATTTAAAAGACACAGACACTCTTT